TCTATAGCCCAAGAAATCAGACGCTACGAGCATTTCATCACTTCAGTTTCACAGGATATAAAACAGCACCATTTGTAAATTGGGAAAGCATCTGATCACACCAATCTTGGTTTGATTAGATAATGTACAGGCAGAGGAAATATCTAGAGTCTGATAGAACCCAGATTTCTCAAAAAAGAATATATGACGATGCCCATTGAAGTTATAGGGGATATTTGCATTCCTTGTGATCCAAAAAAAAAAAAATTTAAGGGACAGTGTAAAAATAAGAAAAGAAAAAAATCAAAATAGCTTAAGAAAAAAGTACCATCACCATCCCCCCCCCCCCCCCCATGCACCTGCATTCATGAGCCTTGACCCTGTACCAGTATGGAGACAGCAGTTGCACCATGTATGTGAGGTATCGCCACAAACGTCAGATCAAGGGCAGTAATACTAACACTAGACCCCCTCTGTAAATCTAAAATGGTAGCTTGCAAAGGCTTTTAAAACATTGCCTATGGATATTAAAAACATATGCAGTTTGTCGCCATTGCACAGGGCATGCACAGTTTAACCAAAAAAAAAAAAAAAAAAAAAAAAAAAAAAAAGGAGGAAAAAGGCTTGGTCTTCAGGTGGTTAGATGTTTGTCACACATCATTCACTCTTCTAACGCTGGGCATAAAATGCCCCCCCCCCCCCCCAAACAACCACTTTTTGAAAAGTAGACATCCCAAACTATTTACTGAGAGGCATGTTGAATCAATAGAACTTATTTTTTTACAAGTTTTTGGAAAATGACAAACATTTTTTTTTTTTTAACACAAAATTGTCACTTAAATCATTTATTGCTCACACATGCCATGGGTATATGGGGAATTACTCCCCAAAATACATTTTTCTACTTCTGAGTATGGGGGTACCATATGTGAGACGTTTTGGCAGTCTAGCCAAGTACAGGACCCCAAAATCCAATAAGCACCTTCAGGCTTTTAAAGGGTTTTATTTCCTCATTACACTTCCTGACTACCGATCAGTTTCGGAGGCCATGAAATGCCAGGATAGCATCACCCCCCCTCCCCCTCCAAAACCCCCCCCCCCTCCCCCCCCCCCACCCCCCCCCCCCTCCCCCCCCCCCAAATGACCACTTTTTGGAAAGTAGACACCCCAAAGAATTTGATAAGCAGCATGGTGAGTATTTTGCAGATCTTGTTTATTGCCAAAGTTTTTGGAAAATGAAGGAAAAAATAATAATTTTGCTTTTCGATTTTAGATTTCAAAACCTTGTGAGAAAAAATGAGATCTGAAAAAAAATACTCACCACGCCTTTCTTTAAATTCCTTGGGGTGTCTATTTTCCAAAAAGGGCTCATGGGGGGGGGGGGGGGGGGGGGGGTTGGTGCTATCTGGCATTTCAGGGCCTTCAAAACTGATAGGTATTGAGGAAGTTACGCACCTTCAGGCTTTCAAAGTGGTCATTGGATTTCAGGCTCCTGAACGTGGCTAGTCTCACACATGTGGTATCCCCCATACTCGGTAGAAGTAGCAGAATGCATTTGTTTTTTTGGATATTTTTTTTAATGACAGAAATGAGAAATTTTTTTTTTTTTTTTAAATTTCTCACAACTTTTTTTGTTTATAGCGCCAAAAATAAAAAGCACACAGGTGATCAAATACCACCAAAAGAAAGCTCTATTTGTGTGAAAAAAAAAAAAAAAAAAAAAAAGACATTCATTTATGTACCGTATTGCATGACTGCGCAATTGTCAGTTAAACTAGTGCAGTGCTGTATAAAAAAAATGGGGGGGGGGGGGAGAGAGGAGGAGAGGGTTGTCTACAGTATATATATAGTGAATTCCTTGTCAACAATAGCAGAGGGAGGATTGTTCACTCACTGCATCGCGCCCCCCCCATTGATGGGTTTCAGTACTCCAGGCCAGTGTTATGGTAAACCCTGTTAGACAAATACCACCCATGTAAGTGGCCTGTTTCCCCTGAGCATGGCTCACATTGCTCAGATAAAGAGGAGGAAACTTTAAGTAAAAAAAAAAAAAAAAATACACAAGAAACCACCACTTCAAAAAAGGTCTTTAATTCTTCAAAATAGCACAAAAACGACAGATAGCACTATAGTAATATTGGTTCACTTCGAGAACTCCTCTACAATGGAAGTAATAGCTTTTCTTCTCAAAGAAAAAAAGGCAGGTGAGGTTTTTAGCAGGAGATTCTAGGCGATAACACAGTAACACTATAATACAAAATGAGAAGTGGCAGCAGTCATATTTTTATGCGGGAGCGGCGGGTGCCCTCTCTACTCTTGCCACCCTCTCATCAAACTGGCAAATAGGGGGGAAAATAAAGCAGTTTAAACAATGATGCAATTGCTTCATGAGGCAAAAAAACTAAGTTAAGATAATCTCAGTTAAAAAAAAAAAAAATGGTAAAGAAAGAAAAATGGGAGGGGGTAGTAACAGAAAGGGGGAAAAAAAAAATATATAAACACTACGTTATCCTGAAGACCTGACTCCCACCATAAAACTTCTACTTCGATGTTACACATCAGATTACACTGCTGCCTTTGCTGCCCATAAAATAGGATGCTAGTTACATTTATTTTGAAAACACACTCAGTCTGGGAACAAAGTAAGCTGGCAATTCATAGAATTGTCAGAACCCTTTCATAACTGTGCATTCTTCCCTCCTTGATTGCCTCAAACATGCTGCCTCCAATGCCAGGTACTCCATGTTCTCATGACAGAAGGATTATTATGAACCCTTGCTGTGCTCTGCAGTCAAAGCCATCAGACATGGAAGACCCCTATTACAAAGTGAGAGAGAAAGAAAGAGAAGGGAAAAGAAAGAAAAAAAAAAAAAAAAAAACGAACAAAAAACAAAATAGCGGGCAGACTTCTCGTTTGCAACTTCTGTACAAGAAACCAATGTTGCTCCATGAGTGAGGAACCAGAAAAAACAAAAAAAACATTTGGAACCAGCTAGAGATAATAAAAATACAGAGCAAAAAGTATATATGTGTATATTTATATATATGTACAATCAACACAAGGATGGGCTGCATTAAAATTAAACATTACTCGAGATAATGTAAATCCTATGTGATTTAAACAATTTTTTTTTTTTTTACTGGTTTTGCTTTTGTACAAAAATTCCTCATGCTTTAAGCTACTGCAGATTTTTTTTTTGCCTTTTCGCTTTTTTTTTTTTTTTTCTTATAAATTTTTTCCCCCCCGTTTTTACAAAAAACAAAAAAAAAAAAAAAAAAAAAAAAAAAAAAAAAAAAGAAATGAACAGTTTGTGAATTCTGCTATGAAACAGCTTCATCTGCTTGTATATTCTGCTATGAAACAGCTTCATCTGCTTGTATATATTTATATATGTATATTTATACTTCTGTATATGAACTGAATAGAAATAGCCAAAATGCAGACACAAGGCATTCCTGCCCTGTTGGCCAGCAAGACCGGGTGCTGGTTACATTTGGCAGGAGAATGAAAAGTGGTTTGGTGACCTCCGTTAAAGAAATTGGCCGGTAGGTTTTCAACAAGCCAAGTTAATTCGAATGAAGCAGGTGTTTCATCGGTTCAATGTAAACTGCTCTCAGCAGTGACCACTTACGACAGCACGGAGTAGAGAAATATGTGCGGCTTTATATCTATATATTGCTTTGGAAGTCAGCCAGAAAAACAAAAATCTTGCTTAAGCAATAATAAAAAAAAAAAAAAAAGGGGCGGGGGCAGGTTAAATAAGGAAACAGCCTTCAAAAGAAAAATGTAAGTAAAGTGTAGAATATAAAAGCATTTCACTGCCAGGAAGGTACGCAATGTCATATGATGGACACCTAAGCAAATAGACAGGGGTGTACATCCGACTTTACCGAATTTCGCATCACCCACCCAACGTGACAAGGGTTAGCTGTGAGGCTCTTTAGCTTAGAACAAAGTTGGTAGGCAGTTCATTTGCCTTCAAAAGTCAGCTCAAAAGAATCAGGACAAACAAAATAAAATTAGATGCACAAATGGGAAAAAAAAATAATCATTCAAAACAAAAACTCTGTTGCAAATATATATATATAATATATAAAATGTGAAATTTTTTTGACGGTGCCTTTGAAGTGAGTTTGCTTTCCAAGATCCATTTTACATTGTGAAAGTTCCACAATGTGAAACAAATCACCACACATCCAGCCAAGACCTGGCAAAGCCACACTGGAAATAAAACACCAATATTAAGCCATCTGATGTATTACTGAACCACTAGCCCTGTTTACATCCCCCAACAGCGTTGAAATATCTGCACCACTGAACAGATTGAGCAGGTGGTTGGCCAAGTCAGTCCTAGAATCACATCTGGAGGTGGCAATGCCCATCTTCAATGCAGCTATGCTGTCCAGAAGAGATCTGCTTCAAAACGAGCATCAGGATGGAGCTACGAAGAGTGTAAATATATATATTTTTTTTACAACACCCCATTGCTTTCAGTCTTAAAACCTTTACACCGCGGATACTGTCCAAGTGCTTCTGTTGTCAAAAGAAAATGAGTTTGTTCCCCCCCCCCCGAAAAACTCTCCCTCATCTTTTAAAAAGAAAAACAAATGCCAAACAAGCAAAAAAGACCTGGACGAATCTTCTAAGCAGTTCATTTACAAAGCTTGAGTTTGCAGGCCTGTCTGCTTGTCAGCTGAGAGTCCATATTGTTCAGCATTCCCCAGGCTCCTGTAATACTCCCCCACACAGACAGAAGCAAAGAAATAAATCAGGATTGTTGGGAGAGATTCAACTCTCCCATAAATGTGTGGGGAAGAGGGTGTGGAAGGTGTAAAATGTGCTTTTCACAATGTTCATCAAAAATAAAAAGGAGAAAAAAAAAAAAAAATCAGTTTATCCAACCCCAAGCAAAATGGTGGTGGGCAAAGCAATAAAAAAAATATTTGATTGGGGATAGAGAGGGTTTGGAGGAAGATCAAGGAGATAGCTGTAGTTCAAGGCTGTGCAGGAGCTTCTGTTATCAGGGGTGGTCAGGCTTTGCCTTCTTTGGAGCAGTTTTCCTAGAGAGAAAAAAAAAAAAAAATTAAAAAAATAAAAAAATAAATATATATATATAAAAATTTTAATATATGGTTACTTCATGGCCAAGAGCAAACCCCATGTTCTCCTTTCTGGTAAGGTAGAACACTGGGCAAACCGCTATGTACATAGTTTAGAGCAGTTGTTCTCAACCTTTCTAATGCCGTGACCCTTTAATACAGTTCCTCATGTTGTGGTGACCCCCAACCATAAAATTATTTACCCAGTAATTATAATTCATGAGTGTCGTTTTACCTCCAATACTGCTGCTTTCAACACAGTAGCTGCTTTTAACAGAGTAGCTGCTTTCTACACAGTAGCTGCTCTTTACACATCAGAAATATGTGTTTTCTGATGGTCTTCGGGGACCCCTGTGAAAGGGTCGTTCGACCCCCAAAGGGGTCGCGACCCACAGGTTGAGAACCACTGGTTTAGAGGATAAATTCCACCCCAGGACCCTGCACCCACAATCTGTGGATCGCAGGTGCAAGATCAGGCTCCTGCAAAAACTCCCTACAGTTCTGCACCCATACGGAGGTATAGGCTGTAAATTTTATGGCTGCAGGAAAATTGAATGAAGATGATCAGCACACTCATTGAGAATTACAAGCCAGCTGCCCTACTTGGTAGTTTCTTAATTCACAGATGACTGTGAATGGTGCCGGAAGAGCTGGACATGCTGAAGGCAGAGAGGTGACACAGGAAGCAGAGTTTGCTGAACCAGGAAATAGCTCACCCGCCTGGCTGTGAAATGCGGTCCAAGTGTGTTTGGCCACAAACCATTGCAATGTGTTCAGTTTTATGTTAGAAAACAAGCATTTTTTTTTTTTTTTTTTTTTATTACATCGGTACCTTTTGAACAATTCTAAAGACTTTTGGCAGTCTCAAAAGATATGACAACTTTGCCTACGCAGAGCAAAAATTACCAGATTTCTTGTAAGGAAATCATTTACCCACGCACAGTTATTCAAATAGCCCCTTGAACCCCCTGTCACATTGGAAGAGGATGGGGGTACAGGCCTCGAGCGGATTACTACTAAAATACACCAAGGGGAACATACCATATGTCTCACACAAGTTATGTTTCTTGTGCTGATTTTTCTATTTGGATTTTTGGCTGCATTTGGCCTTAAGAATACATACTTGAATAGGATATATACATTTTCTAAACCGGAGCTTAGTATTGTGTTAAGTACTAGCCTCGCCCTTTATAAGCAGGACATATTCCCGCGTTGTGATGCTTTGACAATTACTTGGGTCATGCAACACTGTAGCCAAATTAGTTTTTTTTTTGTGTGCGTGTTTCTTTGACCTCCAATGCAGCCGATCAGACACAGATCGGTCTGATCGGCTGCTTCCCTGGCTATTACCAGCCATTTAAATAAAAGGACCAGGACAGGAAGTGACAAAATCATTGTCACTTCCTGTTGCGGACATCACACAGTGGGAGGAACGACATCCATTCCTCTGTGTGCCGGACGTGTCCTTCCGAGGCTTCCCAAATGCACAGGAGAGCCCGGTAAAGGCGATAAGAGGAGAGTAGGACCCCCTTCCACTGCCTGTAAAAAAAAAAAAAAAAAATCCAGCGGCTCGTTAGACGTCCGGACTACTTTTACTTTGAAGGAAAATAGCTGGGGCTACAAGAGGATCTCTCAATCATTGCTGCAGCTATGACCGAGATATCACCCTTCCCGTCTGAGGACGTTTATAATCATACCTTGGGCAGGAAGTGGTTAAGGAATCTACATACATGTATTTAAGGAAATGGTCAAAACACAAAAATACTTACATGTCTGGTGAGGATACTGGGCGTTTACTTCCAGGCTTGCCAGCTGTACCATCTTTGCTGGATTCTAAAAGTTAAGCAACACTAGTTAAGAACCCATTTTATACATCTTGAAAGTTGTGCTCTCATCAGAAACCAAAATTAATAACATCCTCACAAGAATGTGGAAACATACCCGAAAATAAAGAGGACCTGAACTAAAAAAAAAAAAAGTAGAGATTTGCTAGGTTATAGGAAATATCTAACAATGTGAATTGTGCCTTACCAGCACCCTGAAAGATACATCGGTCTTCAACTTCTGAAAAATCAGCAGTACACTTCCTGGTATGCAAGTGTGCCTGCAGCCTTGTAGCTGTACAATATGCAGTGCGAGATCCAAGGCACTGCTGCCTCTTACTATCTCTGGACATTTGGAAAGTGATTCAGTAAGGTCATGAATATGCTGTTCACAGCTCTTGTAAACAGACATAGGGAAGCAATGCCCTGCCGCTTTTAAGATCTCCGCAATACAGAGTACAGAACAAGGGATGTTAACTCCGTAATAAAGGAAAGATCAGAGTTAGGTTCCTTTTTAAGGGCTCATTCACAATATGCGTGATGACTGGTGTGTTCCACACTGGACAAAGGCCATTACCACATGGGAACATAGAAACCAATTGTATTCTCTGTGCCCCATTCACACCACTGGTGGTATGTTCAGTGTATAAAAATGGAAATATGCTGCACTTTTCTGCAGCACTTTGGATAGCGTGGCATGTCACTGTGATGCAACACACAGCACTGCTGTTTGCAGACAAACTGTCACTTTGTACACAAAAAGAGAAAAAAAAAAGAAAAAAAAAGAAGAATGACAGCTGCCTGCACACTAAAAACAGAGTTCTAACTGTTAATCATAACAGGGGTGTGGAATTTTTTTATAAAAAACTACTTGTCCAGGGACTAAATCAGGGCCCCAATCTACTTGTCCCTCATGACAGTCTACTTGTCCAGATAAATAAAAATAAAAAATTTAACCAAAACCGTATTTAAATTGGAGGCAATTTTAGGAATGTCTGGAGGTTTTAAAAACAAAACTTTATGGCGACTTAAACGTGTAATATTTTTAACATTGCGCTGTTTATCTCCTCCTCCCTCCCTGCCTGTCTCCAGCACCCCATCTGGGGACTAGCAGGGAAGGGAGACCTTGCAGTGTAATGAGCACCGATTGGCTGCTCGTCAGGAAAGGGTGGGTCAGCGCATATCCTTTATCCCTTTCGCTGCCAAAGCCGTTTTTGCACACGTTTAAAAAATCATTTTAGGCCTGAAGATTACATAAAACCCCCAAACATGCTATTGCTGCCAAAGTTGAGTGTCAGCTCATCCCACAATTACAAGCACTCCGATTCATGCTGGTCATTAATTTCATTATAAAACCAATCCAAAACTTTTTCAGGCACATAAAAATGTAAAACATAAGTAGATATGGCCTAAGTGTACAACATTTTAACCTGGTTCAGGTATATTCTTTTTTGCACAAGTGAAAAGATTGCTCTCTTAATACGGGTATATATAGAGTTTACAAACAAGCACATTAAGTGGCATAACAGAATTTACTCTTGCATGTCAAAGTGTTACTAAACCTAGGACCCGGCCTTCACTAGATCCGCTCTCTCCGGACCCGGCCTTCACTAGATCCGCTCTCTCCGGACCCGGCCTTCACTAGATCCGCTCTCCACCGGACCCGGCCTTCACTAGATCCGCTCTCTCCGGACCCGGCCTTCACTAGATCCGCTCTCCCGGACCCGGCCTTCACTAGATCCGCTCTCCCCGGACCCGGCCTTCACTAGATCCGCTCTCCCCGGACCCGGCCTTCACTAGATCCGCTCTCCCCGGACCCGGCCTTCACTAGATCCGCTCTCCCCGGACCCGGCCTTCACTAGATCCGCTCTCCCCGGACCCGGCCTTCACTAGATCCGCTCCCCGGACCCGGACTTCACTAGATCCGCTCTCCCCGGACCCGGCCTTCACTAGATCCGCTCTCCCCGGACCCGGCCTTCACTAGATCCGCTCTCCCCGGACCCGGCCTTCACTAGATCCGCTCTCCCCGGACCCGGCCTTCACTAGATCGCTCTCTCTCCCCGGACCCGGCCTTCACTAGATCCGCTCTCCCCGGACCCGGCCTTCACTAGATCCGCTCTCCCCGGACCCGGCCTTCACTAGATCCGCTCTCCCCGGACCCGGCCTTCACTAGATCCGCTCTCCCCGGACCCGGCCTTCACTAGATCCGCTCCCCGGACCCGGCCTTCACTAGATCCGCTCTCCCCGGACCCGGCCTTCACTAGATCCGCTCTCCCACAGTACACACAACATGGAAGGCAATTATTTTAGTAAATATAAAACTGCTAAATGCCTTTTCTCATCAGCAGTTAGAGCAGTCTTGTGACTTCCATCAGTGTTCAGCACAGCACTGGTTAAAGCTTGCAGGAGATTTCTTTCTGCTCTAGGATGCAAAACCCCTGACCTCTGTTTGGACAATGCCAATTGGCCCTGTGATCACATGCACTCTCCCAAGAAAAAAAAAACCCTCTCTAGCAATACACACTAAATTGAGCATGTGCAGAAGGGCTATGGGTTCAGTTCGTTTTATCAGGAGATAAGATGTGGACATTTGAACAAGAAGAGGAGCAGAGAGGACAGGATCAAACAGCCTTTTTTTTTTCTTTACACATAATGCAGAGGATTAACCCCTTAGGTTGCACAGGGAGAACAAGCATGCTTTACTGCATATACAGACTGATTTTACTATTCTGGGTTTAGTGACACTTCGTATCACATACTATGACTGAATAAGGCAGATACTTTGAAGCATTTAAACAGAGCTTCAGCAAATCTATAAACATGTCATATTATACGATTGTATCCTCACCTTGCAACCACCTGACTTGTGTTGCGGGTCCATAGCCCTTCTCATTACGTGCAGCAATCCGGAAGATGATTGCAGGTTTTGTGGTGTAGTCTATGTGAGCATTGGACAGGCTAGAGGACTGTACCAGACAGGAAGGATTTGGGCCACAGTATACCCGCATGAAAGCCAGCTGAGCAGGTGTTGTGGTTTTTTGTTCACCACTCGTACTGCTTTGGATAGCCAAGTAGACAGAATATTCTATAATCTTCCCAGAAGTGACAGAGGGAGGTTCCCATGTGAGGTGAGCACCATCAGGACTCTGCAGGAACAGAAAGTACACAACAGTCAGTTCACACATGCAAAAAAAGCCTCCTTAAAATGTTATTTCAGTGCTAGTGTAGACGCTTGAGCTGTACTTGCGAGGACATTTTACTTTGTATATAGATTACCAAGTGTGTAATCTATATACAAACAAAAAATAAAAGCAGCGCAAACCATTTTTATATATATTAAAAAAAAAAAGTCCTTTCTTTTTTATAAAATTTGTTTGCGCTGTTTTTATTTTTTGAGGTTATTTTTTTTTTTTTCATCTTTTGAGCAGCAGCATTTTTTGATTGTGTTTTCTTTTGCGCAGGTTATTTCACACTACACTTGGTAATCGGCTCTTAAACTAAGTTGAACCCTTAATATAATCCTAAAAGTGCCCAAAGCAAGCATTAAAAAGCTGGTCCCACTGTTGAAGGGTCCGTAGTTCCCAAGATACACAATCAAATATAACAGATCTGAACACTACCAGTGAGATGTGAGGCAATAAAAAAAATTGTACTACGATAGAAGCATCAAAATGGGAAAGAAAATTAAAGAATGGCTGAGAAAATATAGCAAGGACAATAGCCAAAAAACCCAAAAACAAACACAAGCTTCCTCCCATGGAGTGGGAAGGTTTATAGGAGGGTGCACAGGGGGCATTCCCAGCAAAGCTTTTGCCCATGTCCTGAAGGTTGCAGCATATAACAGTCTATGACTTCCCGAAAGGTATGGTACAAATAAAATGGAGCCTGTGGAGGGGGTGATAAAAACCCACTCAGTCACGTGACAGTGCTCGGACATAAAACTGGGTGCTAAGGCCAAAGTACTGCCATCATGGAAGGCGCTCACATTGCTCCCTGTATCCAAACATACCAGGTATTTTACTGCCATCGTGGAAGGAGCTCACATGCTCCCTGTATCCAAACATACCAGGTATTTTTACTGCCATCATGGAAGGCGCTCACATGCTCCCTGTATCCAAACACACCAGGTATTTTGCTGCCATCATGGAAGGCGCTCACATGCTCCCTATATCCAAACATATCAGGTATTTTACTGCCATCGTGGAAGGTGCTCACATGCTCCCTATATTCAAAAACATACCAGGTATTTTGCTGCCATCGTGGAAGGCGCTCACATGCTCCCTGTATCCAAACATATCAGGTATTTTACTGCCATCGTGGAAGGTGCTCACATGCTCCCTATATTCAAAAACATACCAGGTATTTTGCTGCCATCGTGGAAGGCGCTCACATGCTCCCTGTATCCAAACATACCAGGTATTTTGCTGCCATCGTGGAAGGCGCTCACATGCTCCCTATATCCAAACATACCAGGTATTTTACTGCCATCGTGGAAGGCGCTCACATGCTCCCTGTATCCAAACATACCAGGTACTTTGCGCTGGCTGCAATCAAGATTCACCCATGCTCTGCTGCAAGTATCTGACACTTCTGGGTATGAAAGACTATTTTATGCAATATTTGTTTATCTACAGAGGCATGTGTACTCTTATTTGCAGATCTATGAATATTGGCCATGAAACAAAACCTTTGCTTCCGTACAAGGGCTCCCTGCGATAAAGCCCAGACCATGCTGCTTGCTTTGTGCAGGGAGACTAGCCTGATGTCTGTTCCCCTGTAGTTTTCTGAAGGCAGCCTGTAGTTGGTAGACCGGTTGGGTCCCACTAAAAGCTCTGCGCTGGCTACATGGACAAGTTGCATATCTGAATCTTCAAAAAGGCCATGGAGTACACACCATGGGAGCTACTGAGGTTTAGCACTACAAAGTTTTGTGCCTGGGCTTCAGTGTTATTACATCAACATGTTACACAGCTAAAAAATCCTATATTGATCGCGCAATGAAGAAATGCAAGCGGTCAATCCTAATCACCACCCTCTTCAAACACTTTTGTAGCCATATCCAGCTATGAACCTGAGTACACAATTTACAGCTGCATTTGCTCTCATGAAACATTCCACGTGTGCTCTGAAGGCTGACAATCTGTTCTAATATGCTCCAGATGGTGCAAGAGGAGAATTCCTAGGCTGGAAGCAAAACCAACAACTTTGTCATTAAACCATCATTACCTTGCTGATCTTTATGGCACATGGAGCACCTGGGAAACCAGGTAGACAGGTCTTGAAGGCAGAGATTTCACTGAAGGGTCCACGACCACAAGCATTTATTCCTGCTACACGGAATTTATAGGCAGTGCCTGGCTGTAGTTCGTGCTTCTTTAATTGGCTGTAATCTGGTAGGACACCAGAGTCATCCTGCAAGCACAACACACACAAGTTCCAAGATGTATCCAATAAAGTCAGTATCAAAATTCAGCAACATCCCTCTCCCCAGATAAGTAAAGCATAATTGAAATATTTTCTACGGCCTGCAAACCAAGATTAAGACACTGAACTATATGGCAGGGGTATGTGTCTCAGAATGCAACAGGAGAGGCCTGATGGCAGCCATTCTATGAAGGGATCATCTGCAGAAGACTAGACCATGTATTCCCACAGATTAGGACAGTAAAGATTGGCTTTGCATTCACCATGATGCTTAAACCTATCAGGCATGGAAAGGACACCTATACTGATAATATTTACTTAAAAGTATAACTAAAGGCAAAACTTTTTTCTTTTTTTTAGCGTTGGATAGAGTGGAGATGGATTAGAACTCATGTCAATTTTTACTGCAGTCTGTGCCCCTGTTAGGGAGATTCACCCCCTCTATTTGTCCCATTTACCATTATCATTGAAAGTAAAAGAAAATCCCAAATTTTGAGTTGTCCCCAGAAACATATTAGAGAGGACTCTTCCAATGCGGACACTAGTTCCCTAGTTCCCTTAATTTGCAGAGATTTCCTCTCACTTCCTGTTTGGCTATGGGACAGAAAGGGAAGGGAAATCTCTGCAATAGGACACAAGATGGAGGAAAAATTAAAATAAGATTTGACAGAGGTTATAACCCTCCTTTGCTCTATCCAAAACAAAAAAAAAACAAACAAAATTGTCCATAGTTCTACTTTAACCACATTCCGACCGCCCTATAGGGCAGCAGGGGTGCACAAAATCATGTTTATATACGTGATCTTGTAATTCCGGGTAGAAGGCGAGTGCGTGCCCTACCTGCATTGCCATTCACCGGGTCCCGGCTGGTGATTACCGAGGATCTCCAACGGGAAGGAGAGCTGCTTTGTTTACTAACAGTCCTCCTCCCTGTCGGCTCAAACACGCTGCTCTGGATGGCTGTGCACAGCCCCCTAGTAAAACACTCCCATCACAATTAACCCCTTTGATCACCCCTCATGTTAACCCCTTCTTGCCCATTGCCATTAGTAGTGTCAGTGCTTTTTTTTTATAGCACTGATCACTGTATTGGTGTCACTGGGGATGTCAGTGACACCAAGTCAGTTCCCCTCAGTGTCAGAATGCCCGCTGCAGTCCCGCTATAAGTCACTGATCGCCACCATTACTAGTAAGAAAAAAAAAAAATCCAGTATATATATCGCCATTTGTTACAACTTTCATGTAAACCAATTAATTTACATGCATTGGGATTTTTTTTTTTTTTAGCAGACATGGAGCAAAATACATTTTGGCCTAAATTGATTTGATTTTTTACTGGACATGTTTAACAGCAAAAAGTCAAAAAAAAAATTTTCCTCAAAATTGCCGCTCTTTTTATAGCGCAAAAAATAAAAACCACACCGGTGATCAAATACCACCGAAAGAAAGCTCAATTTGTGGGGGGGGGGGGGGGTCGTAAATTTAATTTGGGCGCAGCGTTGCATAACGGCGCATATGTCAGTTAAAAGTAACGCAGCGCCATAATGCAACAAATGGCCTGGTCAGGAAGGGGGGTAATCCTCAGGAGAGCAAGTGGTTAAGAAAAACCCATACTTCTAAAAGGGTATACAGGCCTCAACTGAAATATTTTTCAGCTACCAAACATACTTACATCATTGGTAGAGTCGTCTGCAGGCAAGTAGTAATGTGTCACCATCATGTTTGTAGCCTTTATTACACCGACATCAAACCATTGATTCTCTTTCTTCAGCGGAGTCTTCGGCTGCTGAGGGGGCAAGTCCTGTTTCTGTACATGAAACAAAAGCATACAGATTTCCATTATGGCAGGTCAATATATTTCACAAATAACCATTTCACTTTGGTCCTTCAGAAAGAAGAACTTCTATTTAAAATACCCATCTAAAGCGTTCTTGCCATTTGCCCATTTTCTTTCACTTCTTTTTTTTTTTTTTTTGCGCAGCAAAGACAAGAGAGAAGGGAAATCCATCCATCAGAGGTACAGAGTAACGAAAACACTAAATGCCATAGGACACTGCAGGCTCCTCATCTTGACTGGCATTTACTACATAGGCTGAGAAATGGAGTCTTACTATCTAAGCATAACAGAGAACTCAACATCTACATCACTTTTATTAACATATCCACTTTAAAATGACATACCGATTCGATGCCGTTTGCTACTTCAGTAAGGGCTGCTGCAGCCTGTAATTTAGCTGGACTGGCGATTACCACTGGTTGAGGTGTTGTGAAGGTATTCATAGGAGCCAAACCTGCAAAACAAAAGCAATATTTTTTTTAATTGACAAAAGATCCAAAGCAACTACATAAAAGCAACAGTTTAGTCCTGGCACTCACTATCTGTGGCTGTAGCCGGTAAAAGGGCCACTGAACTAGTCACTGCATTTGTTAACTCATTGAGTCCATTACTTTCACTGGCAGGATCGTTGAGGCTGTCAGCTGGTGCAAGGGCTTCTGTAGGCACATGGTGGAGCTGCTGCAGTTGTTGAAGTTGCTGTAACTGCTGTTGCTGAAGTTGCTGCTGCTGTTGCTGAAGTTGCTGCTGCTGAAGCTGCTGCTGTAACTGTTGCTGATGCTGTGCTTCTTGCAGTTGCTGCTGTTGTTGAACCAGAGCTGCCAGTTCCTGCTGGGTGAGAACTATTGGGATTGTTGTGGTGGGGCCTTCAGATGTCAGGTGACGAAGCTCAGCATGAGCCATATCAGAGGTATCCATTGGCTCTCCAGCTGCTGAATGGAAACCAATAATGAACACAAACATCAGTTACAAAGCTTTAACTCAATCATGTTCTGTACAATTTAAGACTCTGCAACTGTTCTAGTGATGTGTTCTATCATACAGAATGATCTCACTTTAGCCTAGGCACAGCAGCTAAATATATTCAGTAAAAGACGTTTCCCAATCATGGGCTTGCCCATACACAACAAATTTTACAGCCCCCTGCAAGGCAAAATTGGAAACAAAACAGAGCGTTCGGTAGACCAAGCCAACATTCAGTTTTGGGTGGGCATATGCTGGCTGAAGCTATGTTCTATACCGAACAGAGTGGGGAAAACTAGAACTTCTGTCAAGCTTTTGTTATAGACTGTCAAAACGACAGAACATAATTAAAAAGGAACATTCAACAGAAGGCAGAGGCAGTCATGAAAAAACATCAGTGCAGTAGAACCTCTATGACCCAAAAAGAACACCAGAGAGCATGTTACACCTGACAACCAGATCTGATCCTTTACGATATAAAAATGATTTATGGGTGAATTTGGAGTTTACGTACAGGATCTCCTGCAGTATGTAGCCAATATTACAGGTATTCATTCATTTATAATCTATTATCCTTCAATTTATGTACTCTTTAGTAGTGATGCACATTTATATTGGCCTGCCAAAAATGGGGTTATTGGCGTTTTGCCAAGAAAGGAAAAAAAAAAAACAATGTTAACTAAAGCCATTGGGGAAAAAACATCCCCATGTAAAGTTTATTTTTATATCTATATTTAATATTGTGTCCAATTTTTGTGAGTTACTTTCAATAAAAATTGTTTTATGTTACTGGATTGTATTTTTTTAAATTCAAATTCATCATATTAACTAAAAAGTCAAACAATTATATATAAAAAATATTTAAAAAAAAAAAAAAAAAAAAAAAAAAAAAAAAAAAAAAAAAAAAAAAACGCTTGTCGTTTTCAGTTTCAAGCCAAGTGCATCCTGACTTTTCGGTCCAGAATTTTCATTTGAATGCATCACTACTCCTTAGCCCCATTTCCTGGAGACAGCTAGTAGAGAAATACACTCCTCTAATCCACTGTATTATGTGGCCTGCGTGATGCTGGAAACCATCCATTGGCTCCCACTCAGAATCCCATTTTTTTCCTTCTCTTTGGATGTGGGTATATATTACTAGTCGCTTTTTTCCTTGTGGAGTATAATCTTATGGGTTGATGCAGATACAGCACATCTGATAGTGCCATCATATAGATCAGCGGTCACTAAATGGCGGACCGCGTTCTGCGAACGGCACCAGCAGCGCTGCTGCCCGGACCGCCAGTCAACAATGACAGATCAGCCGCTGAGCAGGGCGGTCATCACAGCAACATGACATCACGCATGCGCCGCCGCCCCCCCCCCCCCTTCAGCTCACTCTCTCCGGCTCCCGCTCCCTGCCTGTACACAAGCATCCAGCAAGGATCCCGGCACAGCTCCTGTCTGCCCTCAAGGTAGGGTGTAGTCTTACAGGGGCACTCTGATGGGCACAACATAGAATCAGAGTGCCCCTTAACATAAAATGTATCCATAGGTGTGCCCCTTAACATAAAAACATGCCCATCAGCATGCCCCCCATTTTATGTTAAGGGGGCACTCTGATGGGCCCATTTTATGTTAAGGGAGCACATACTGCGGAAAGGAGCACTCTGATGGGCACATGTGATGGAAAGGGGCACTCTGATGGGGAAATATGAAAGAAAGGAGTACTTTGAGAATAAGGGGGCACTCTGACAGGAATATCGGATGTAAGGTGGCAATGTGATGGGGATGCCTGATGTAAAGGAGGACTCTGATGGGGACAACTGATGTGATGGGAATACATGATGTAAAGTTGCACTCTGATGGCGATACATAACGTAAGGGGGCACAACCTAGTCGGATCTCGGCCAGAAGAAAATTTTAGTGACCGGATTTCCTTGAATTTTAATTCAATACTCCTGATATAGATGAAAGATAATTTTTGACACTACAGTTTTTTTGTAAATGTTCAATATGTTAACTTTTTTTATGAATAAATCCTATAATTTTGTAATTGGACGGTGATACTTAACTCCAGGTGACTGTGCAAAAAAGGGCCTAGAAGTTTTACCAAATAGTTGTCATTATGAAGCCACCTACCGCCCTCTAAAATCCAGGGGCATACTGTATATCTAAAACAGACAACAGTACCTACTGGACAAAACACTTCCCCTATTTCACATTAAATTTACAACTTCCCTCCTCCACACTATAAAACGTACCCATTACTGCCTGTTGTGCAGCTTGTAAAACTGCTTGTATAGCCAATGCCTGGGCTTCTTCTGTGGCAGCAGCTTGTGCAGCGGCCTCAGCTGCAGCAGTTACTGCCAATTCTTCAGGCGTTAACCCTGTGACCATTAGGGTGGTTGTCTGACCCTCTGCCATAAGTTCTTGCGGAAGGGAAAGCTGTTCCACTCCTTGCTGCTCAGCAGCAGCGGCTGCCTCTTGAACCTGGTCCGTTTCCATTACGGCTTGTAGCTGTGCTTCAGTATGCTCCGGCACTGCAGAGTCCATAGCTTGTGCTTCAGGCTCAGCCTGAGCATCTTCAGGAGGCTGAAGCATAACCGAGGACAGGTGAGCTTCAGCTTGTCCACTGCAGGGGACAGCCCCTGAACTCTGTTCTGCATCCTCGGGGGCTGGTTCAGTCATAGATGAAATATTCTACAAAAAAAAAAAAAAAAAAAAACACAACCCTTCGTTAAGTTTAATTACAAAAACAAAACAGGTTTATCTAGCTTAAAATTTGTTGGTGCCTGGAAAAGGACACAAATATAGAATTTGATTTACTTACAGGAACAGAAGGTCCAGGCAGCTGAGTGGACTGAGTCACAGTAGTTACGGCCCTAGAAGCGATAGGCTGCACCGTATGTACCGGAGATGAAGATGAAGCTGCCACAGCTACAATAGTCACTGGAGATGCAGCAGCGGCAGAATCGGCATTGTTGCCTGAGGCAGCATCCTCTGTGGGGACAGTTTCCTGCTCTCCTTGACCATTTGCGGCTGGTGGTTCTACAAAACAGATAAGCAGTCTATTTTCATTTGGCACACAAGACTTTGAAACAAAAAAACACCACTAGAATCTAAGAAAAGTTAAATCTTCAGACCTCCTTTATAACTGTTGAGAAATGTCCACTGAGCTGTGCCTATGCAGCTCAGCGCGCATCCCCAGCAAACTTTGGCTGTGCTGGAAAAACCAACCCCCTTGCGCATGTGTGGGATCACACCAATTTTCCACTTTCGAGACCAGAAGCCAAAAAATTCAGCACCATAAAGTAGCCAGGGAGAAGAGGACGGCAGACAGGGGATTTAAACATTGCACTGCTGAAACGTGGAGGGTATTATTTCTCTGAGTTTAGTTCCACTTTACTAACATTTGCAATACAATTAAGGAACAACTCAAAGAAAACTAAACTAATGAATGTAACAAATGATAAAGAATACATTTTAAATGGTCAGTCCACTAACACTTTCTCTATTCTTGTCTCCAAGATCCAATGTTTTCATCCCAAAACCAAGAGAAATCACGCGACATCTAAATGGTTAGTTTCTAAAACATTGAACAAACCAGAGTACACAGAACAAGGTACACAAAAGGAGACCAAGCCTCACCTTGATTATCCCCCATGCTGGCTGTGACAGTGGTTGCTGTGTGGGTAGTTCCCGTTTCATGAGTTTCACATGGTGGGTTTGAACAGACTTGTTGTGCCTGAACAGCAGGAGGTTGATTACCTCCAATGTTAGATGTAGATGTGGTTGCTGTATTGGTAGTATTGGTCTCGTGAGTTTCACAGGGTGGGTTGGAACACACACGCTGTTCTAAAGTGTTGGGTGTTGTAGATGTCTGGGAAGCTTCACTGGAGGGCTGCTGGGAACTGTCACCCTGCTGTTCTCCGATATTTGAACTTGTTGTGGTTGCAGTGTTGGTTGTACCAGTTTCATGAGTCTCACATGGTGGGTTAGAACATGATGGATTTACAACCTGATTGACTTCTGACACAGTCATGGTAGTATGAGTGGAACTTGCTTGATGGGTCTCACAAGAGTCACCTGTAGATCTCTGTCCGTTCTCCGATGTACCAGAATTGATATTGGACTTGGCCGTAGTTGCGTTTGAGTAGTGCCAGTGATTAACGTTTCACAGGGAGATTTAGAGCACACCGGCTGTGTTTGTACAGGGATGGAGGGTTTGATTTCCTTGCTAGTTCCAGAAGCATTTTCTACCTCTAAAAGGCTTGTTGAATCAGAGCTGTACTCTGTATTTATAGACATGGTAGTTTTTGTAGAAATGGTCTGATGGGTCTCACATGGTGCATTGCTTGGTCTTGCTGTGGTTGGCGTGTGGGTAGTGCCAGTTTCATGAGTTTCAGACGGAGGATTAGAGCACACCTGCACAGTATTGCCTTGCTGTTCTGTTCCCAGATTCGATGTCGCCACAGTTGGCGTATTGGTTGTGGAAGTTTCGTGCATTTCACATGGTGGATTGCTGCAAAGCGGTTGTACCTTTGCAGACTGCCCGCTGGTAATGCTAGCAGGCACAGACATAACTGTACGTGTGGCTATAGTTTGTAATGTTTCACAAAGTGTATTTGGTGGCCTCTGCAAGTTCTCGTGTTGCTCATTGGCAAGGTTTGCTCTGGCTGTGGTGCAAGTTGGAGTTGTGCCGGTATCGTGCGTCTCACATGGTGGATTAGAACACACTCTAAGGTTTCCTGCCTGCTCACTACCAATATTTGCCATAGCAGTAGTTGGCGTCTGTGTAGTCCCAGTATCGTGGGTCTCACAGGGAGGATTTGAGCAAATTCTCACTATTGTGCCAAGCTGCTCACTGCTGATAGTTGCCATTGCTGTGGTTGATGTTTGTGTGGTTCCAGTTTCATGGGTCTCACAGGGTGGGTTTGAGCAAACTCTTGTTATGGAACCATGCTGACCAATATTTGCCATTGCAGTTGTTGCAGTTTGCGTAGTTCCAGTCTCATGAGTCTCGCATGGAGGATTCGAGCAAACTCTCACCACATTGCCATTTGCCTGTCCCAAGGCTGTGGCTACAAAGGTTCCAGGTTCCTGTCCTTCACACACAAACTGAAGCGTTCCTCCAGGCTGCTGAACAAGGTTCACAAGGGTGGTGGTGGGGGGTATTTGTGGTTCCGGTCTCATGAGTCTCACAAGGAGGATTGGAACATACAAGGGTTACTGTGCCCGGAGGCTGATCTCCTTGGCTAGGATCAGCTATAGTAACGGTTGCTGTGGGTTGATCTGAAGTTGGCGAAGCCAAAATGGAGACAGGAAGGTCATGGACTGGCTGAGCCTCCACACCACTGGGAGTTGTGATTAATGTCACTTGTGTAGGCTGTGATATTGGCTAAGGAAAAAAAACAAATATGTAAACCAATTAAAAAGTAACAGCACAATGCACTACTACACACAAAGTAAGACTGACCCCGTGCAGGCTGAGAAAACATACCACAGGACCAAGTAATATATTTTTTTTCCCACCAATACTTGCATTCAAGCTATTTAAAACAAAGAGAAACAAGGCCATGTGTCACATCTGAGGGGCCAACAGTAAGACAACAAGAAGGTTCCGCAAACTGTGCTAACTTTACTGTCATATCAATTCATTAGGCCATTCCTCAACCAAGCTGTGCCGATGAACTGAAGAGGGAGACTAGGACCTGGCTATGCGGTCTGGTAAAAGATGACTGACTGAACCAAATTACAAATCTTATGTCAAATGAGGTCAACAAATATGCAATTGAATTGTTTCACAGCTTGCCTGGGGTAGTTTTTTAATTAGTAGTTTAACAAGTCAAAGGCTACATTTACCTGCATAGTAATTGTGGGAGTGCTCAGTCCTGAAGCAGCAGTAAGGGAGGTTTGCGCGGCAGACATGGTAATGGCACCAGGATTGAGCACTTGACTAGAAAGGGTGGCTATGGTACCCAAGGTATTAATTGGAGTTGCCAGCGAAGCCGTGTTGTGTACCCCACCTCCTGCGAGACTTGTGGAAACTGTACCAGTGACTGTGCCAAGAGTGGTCACTCCTAAACGCAAAAAAAAAAACAACATAATCAAAATGTTAAAAAAATACATACACCCTCCCCCCCTTGCTCATTGCATATGCAGATTATGCTTTGTCCTTTACAGCACTAACCACTGTAGAGAACAGATTAACAAGAGTCGTACTTTGAGCTCCAATCATCCAACTTTATAGATGCAATTGTGGTTTTTTTTTTTTTTTTTTTTTTAGGTCCAGACACCACAATAGCAACTATACAGTTGATACTTGAATAGAAGTACTAGGGTCATTGGTTTGAATCCCAGCCACAGCACCACCTGCCTGGAGTTTGCATGTTCTCCCTGTGCCTGCGTGGGTTTCCTCTGGGTACTCCGGTTTCCTCCCACACTTTGAAGACATGCTGGTAGGTTAATTGGATCTGGTCTAAATTGTCCCTAGTAAGTGTATGTATGAATGTGAGTTAGGGACCTTAGATTGTGCGCCCCTTGAGGGGTAGGGACTGATGTGAATGTACAATATGTATGTAAAGCACTGCGTAAATTGACAGCGCTATAGAAGAAATAAATAAGTACTTGGGAGACTAAATAGCGGAGTGTGGATCTTTACCTATTCTCTATAATGGTGAGCCTGTTTATCAGTGGACAGGTCAGGAGCAGTGCCGTTGGCTTGGGACATATCAAGCATGAAAAAGTGGTTACCCTTTACTGTTCCCTGTCACAAGGGAGGTCAATAACCTGCCATAAATGGACTTTAATTACAGCTGAATCTTGCTTATTTGGCTAGTTTGGCCCTGTAAGCACAGCATGGCTTAGCAAAAGTTGATTTTCGAAGGAGCAGAAGGAGTCAGGTTAAAGATTGGCAGTGCAACTGACTGCATATCAGCTTTCATAATACAATAGATTTCTTTCATCCCCCCCACTGGCTGAATGACAAACCTATATGTGTACGGCTAGCCTGTGGGTCTGCACATAAATGCACCGCTTATGAAGCCAATATCAACAGATAAGAGATGGCATTTGCACTATGACATAAATGGCTTCTCTTGTCGCTAGTTTACAAATCTAATGCAAAAACCATACTATGGGGAACAAGCTTGTATACAAGTCATAAAATTACTTTAACTTTACTTTCCGTTTTTGCAGTAAAATTTGAGAAAACTCAGACTTTTAGTTACATGTTCCAATTCACAGAGCATGCTTACCACTTTGGCACTAGCACAAATTTCTTTTTTTTTTTCTTAAAAAAAAAAAAATAAAAAAAAATATATATATATATATATATATATATATATTATATATAATATATTAGTCTTTTGGCCGTAAGATTACCTAAAATCTTCAGCACATTATATATTTTCTGAAAGGCCTTGCAGAATTTGTTATGCTGAATATTTATGCAACTTTATCAAATTATATATATATTTTTTGTTTGTTTTTTTTAGGAAAAACAATGTTTTAGTGTACACAAACAATATGCCCAATTTTTTGGGGTAAAATAGAAAACGGTTGGTATTTATTTACTTGACGCAACCCAATCAAGCCCGTGATATATCGAAAAACAATGGTACCCCAAAACCACCATAGGCTACTTGAATAGTTTTTACAGCTCATCAGTTTAAAAAGTTAAACTGAAGTTTGGCGCTAGAATCATTGCTCTCAACTCTGATGTGCGAGGCAATACCTCATGTCATACGTATTTGTATGTGTGTATATTTTCAGCTACGAGCATTACATAAATTTTTTTTGTTTTTTAATGATTATTTTTTACTTTAATTATTGCCATAGCAAGGGGTTAACAAATGCCCCCACAAGTGATAGCACAGAGCAGGTGGCAGGTACTCTTGGAAACATTTGGGGTTCACACCACCTGCACTGTAAAAGTGATTGGCGGCTATACATCCACCAGATCACTTTCATTTTACAGTTGGTTGAGAAAAACAAAGCACTATTGTAGCCATCAGCCTGTGCTTAACCCTTCACTAGAAGGTAAAACACTGCATAAAATTATATACATTCACTGACAAAGTACAACGCCACCAATATAAAAAAATCTTTAACAACAGTCTAAATGCCTCAGGTGTAATCTGTTCCAAGGAATCTACACTGCCATTATATTTTGCATCAATCACTTACCTGTGGTCCCTTTCACCACAAGAGTAGTTACGGTTGGTTTAACAGCAGAAACAGTCACAGGAGTGACTAGTCTTACACCACCCATAGGGACAGTTCGGAGAATTGTACCAGGCTGGCCAGGTGCACCCTTTAACACCACCTACACGATGAGAAGATTAAAATTAAGTAAATAAAAAAAAAAAAAAAAAAAACCACAACACACAAATAAGCCACTTGGTTTGCAAAAGTGCCTACATACCTGGGTTAAACCCTGCTGTCCATGGCTTGTTGTGAGCTTGGGAACTGCAGTTATTATTTTGGCTGGTGTTCCTGTGCCTGAAGTTACCATTTTAGTTGTGAGGATAGTAATCGGTGACTTAATCCCTGCTGTACTTGTAACACCTGCCATGAGCACAGAAACTTGTCAATATGTAATTAAAACAAAATTATACATTTCTAATACAAGCTCAACAACTGCAAAGATTCAACACTGGTATCCTCTCCACACAAAAAAAAAAAAAAAAAAAAAAAATCTAACAGATGAAGAGACCAAATAAAAATGAAGCCAAAAGACCTTTAAAAGTTGCTATGAAGTTGCACCCATTTGCCATTTCTCTCAAGGGCAGCAAATATAAAAATTTATTTTTTTCCTTGCAAGCTATGGAATGTGCACAAATATGAAAGAGGAATACCTGTAGCCCCTGCCTGAGTGATGATGGCAGACATAGGGATCGTTTTGATAATGGTGGTGGTCCCTGGCTTTGTGGTATTTGGAGACACACTGCTGATACCCAGAATGGTAGGCTTGGTTCCGGTGCCTCCAGCCTGTGTTGTGGTGATTATAGTTGTGGGTTTTCCGTCTGCTGAAGTCACCAACTTTAGTATTGTTCCAGCAGGAAGAGGCCCCTTGGTCTGAACATGGATGAAGAGGAAGAGAAAAAAAAAAAAAAAAAAGGAGGAGGATTATGATAAGGTACAAATCAGCAAAGGGAACAAAAACTATATGAATTCAATCTTAATTCTTAAAATTACAAATGCACTGAAGACAAAGAGGAAAAAAAAAAAAAAAAAAAAGCTGTACGGAGGGAAATATACTGCAACCTTTTTCAAATTATGCTTATTGCATAGCAATCCCTAATATTTGGCACGACACTCAACATACAGCAAAATTATTTGAAAACTTCTGATCTGCATGCTATTCTCCAGATCAGACTAGCATCGATGCCACAAGCCTGAGAACTAGCTATTTCAGTAAGAGGTCAGCAATAGAAGCACACATTTCTTAAATTGTCAATATTCTCATTCTCAAATTACTCCTGACATTCACCTGTAGGATCTGTGTTAGGGGCCCCGTAGAAGCCTGTCCTGTTATGGCCGATGTCTGCACTGGCTTAGTCTGTACAACAGACACCATTTTACCAATATTTGAAATCTGAAAGAAGCACAAAAATCAGTAAGAACAAGCAGCAGCCAATAGCAATGAACAGCAAGTGACCCTAAAAGCCAGAAGTCCAACTTACCAAAGTGCCTCCACCAGGGACAGAAATTGGACTTTTCACAAGTGTGATGGTCTTTGTGACGCCTCCAACTACTGTGGTTACAACCTGGGCTTGTTGGGCAACTGTGACCGTTCCAGATTTATGCACAGTGATAATAGGACGAGTAGGTGTGTTGGCACCAGGAGACACTGAAGTGCCCACTTGTGCTGCAGCAGTTTTCAGCATGCGTGTGGCTGGGTTACTGACCTGCAAAATAGGAAAGAAAGCATGAAGCCATGCCGAAATTTCTTGCACCTTATAAATTCTGTAAGCCTAACATCTGTTTAGAAGATCATTTAAATCAAACCACACTTTAAAAGTGCAGGATTCCACATAAAACCAGGAAATTATATACTGCTGCTCTGTAAACCCACATGCAAAACAAAGTCTAGATCCCTACCATTATTGGAGAGGTTGCCACTTTCACAGATGTTGGAAGAGTGGTAGCGGATGACATAGCAACAGATTTCACCAAGCTGGCTCCAGCAGGCACACTCAGTACTGTGGGTGCAGAGGAAGGAGGGATCTTCTGTGTTGCAGCAGCAGCTGCAGCAAGAGCAGCCATGCCACTCATTGGCTGACTGCTGCCAATAGCCTGCAAGGCAGATACCACTCAATCAAAACACACCTACGTAGGAAAAGATTTAACCGACGATGTACAGAGCTCTCAGCTAAAGGGGAGCTGCTTCATGGAAATTTATATACGCCAAAATACAATACTTACAGTGCCTTGAGCGCTTTGGGCAGGCACAACCATGCGCACACCAGGAGGAAGAGAGGTAACAGTTACTGGAGATTTTCCAATTTGCATAGCTGGCCGAACGGTAACAAGTGGCGAGCTTACTGTGGACTGAGGTGCTTGAACTTTCAGGACAGCTGGGACAGCTAAAAGAAATTGGCAGTTAATCAAAAATCAAATCAGATGCAGAGTGAAGAACAAAACAAAACAAAACCAATAGAAAAAACATACTCTGTGGACGTTGCACAGCAGAAACCGCAATTGGACTCCCAGGGATCGAAGGCAAGACCTGAATGGTGGCTGTTGTTGGAGGCAGAGAAGCTGCCTGTGGAACCAGGGTGATGCCAGCATGGGCAATAGGTTGGACTATAGGAGCAGCTGCGGCAGGAGCTGGGCTCTTGGGCGGATTCACTGGCACAGACGGAACGGGATTGGCTGGAGACATGGCTGCAGCAGCAGCGGGTATATCATACTTCTGAAGTTGCAACAAATAACTGTCTGCAGTGGACACCGATCCCCAGCTCACCTCCAGAGAATTGGTATTTGCTCTGACTAGCTGAACACGTGCAGGCGCGGGCGGTTTTTTTTTTTTCTGTAACAAAAAAATAATAATAATAAATAAAAAGTGAGGAACCCCCCAAACCAGAAAAGAAAACACCAGCCTTTTACCTCCATGGTATTACTTATGCCAGGGACTGCAAAAGCAGGCTTGGACTACAATATTCTCTAATGTACATATAACTACACTTGTCTTCAAAATAATAGTCCCAACTTCACTAACCGGATCAATCACTGCTTTTGGTATAAAATTACATTTCTACATGGCAAATAATTTACTAGTAGAGTAATAGAAATCCAACAGACCCAACAATCATGACATGCATGCTGCTGATTCTAAATGAATCATTAATTGAAAGGGGCATGTTCAAAATAATAGCAGTGTGGAGTTCAAAAAGTGAGGTCAATCAGTTTGAAAGAAAAGAGGAAAAAAACAAAAACCACAGGTGGCCCATAGTTAACCACTTCCCAACCACCCTATAGCAGCACTACTGCTACAGGGCTGCACAAAATATCTCTCTCTCTATATTTTTTTTAATTTGCATTTCCAAGCAACAGCTGTTGATCACCGGGTCCTGGCCATCGACTCCCGCCGCCACCCGGTGATCGCTGAGATAACACTGACAGGGGAGGGGTCTATGTAAATACATCTCTCTTGTCCATCAGCACCAGCATGCTGCTTTGTATTGCTCTGCACAGCAGAGCAATAAAAAGCAGCATACTTACATAGTAAAACAGCACATAATGTGAAATTCACAGCACACAGTTAACACTTTGATCGCCCCAATGTTAATCCCTTCCTGCCCAGTGCCATTAGTACAGTGTCAATGCTTTTTATTAGCACTGATCCCTGTATTAGTGTCACTGGGGATGTCAGTGGCAGTTAGTTCCTCTCCCCCCCCCCCCCCCCCCAGTGTCAGAATGCCCATCGCAGTCCCACTATAGGTCACTGATTGCCGCCATTACTAGTATAATAGTATAAATAAAAAAAAAAAAAAAAAAAAAAAAAAAACACACTTGTAGACGCTATAACTTTCACCAATTAATACACGTATTGGGATTTTTTTTTTTTTTTGCAAAGACATGTGGCAGAATACATATTGGCTTAAATTTATGACGAAAGGAGTTTTATTTTTTTTTTTTTTCAGGATATGTTCTATAGCAAAAAAAAATAAAATTTTTTTTTTTTAATCGTCAGTCTTTTTTTGTTTATAGTACAAAAAAATTAAACGCGGAAGTGATCAAATACCACTGAAAGAAATCTCTATTTGTGGGGGGAAAAAAAAGGACATAAAATTCATTTGGGTGCAGCATTACATGACCACGTAAAAGTAACAGTGCCGTATCGCAATAAATGGCCTGGTCAGGAAAAGGGGGGGGGGGGGGGGGGGGGGGTTTAAGATGTTGTGACGTCTGAAGAAATGGAGCCATAATCACTGTGTTAAAGCTAGTAAACATTTTATCTTATTTTTAAAACGACCCTCCATCCCATGAATGTGGATGCTCTACAGGCTCTTTATTTTGGTATGGCCCAACTGAGGGGAAAAAAAATATCCAAAGAGAAAAATGGTATCTTCTGGATTTTTAATATCCCATATGCTGCTAGAAAATCAAATAAACCAAAGAATTTGTGATATTCACTTGTCCCTATATATTCAGGTACACCATTGTCCGCTACCCACCTGTTTCTAGGTACCACAGGTCCTTGCAGCACACTTGGTTGTTCCAGGCCTTTCTGTACCCATCACGCCCACTCCATATGTACAAACGTGTATTGATTGCCACAGCACAGTGGCCAGCACGAGCCCGTGGAATGTTATCTTCCAGGGTATCCATGACAATATGTTCCCAAGCCATGGAGTCTGCGAATTTAAATAGATCAATCAGTACACACATCTAATATACATGCAGCCACATTTCCTAACCTTAGAACATCACACCACTTACCAAGGTTAAGACAAGCTAGGGTGTTTGTACATTTCCATTCCTTCTCGTGGGTGGCTACTTTAACATCATCCATTACCAAGGGCACCCAGCCTCCAAAGACATACATTCTAAAGAAAAAAAAAAAACACCCACAAAATTTGAGATTACACCCACTATAATTAGATCGACGATATAAAACTATATTAGAAAAACCAGCTCTTACTTGTTGCTTATGGTTGTGGCAGAATGAAGACTTCGAGGAAGAGGTGCAACACCATTCAGACTAGGCTTACTCCAGGTCAGCGAGTCTAAACAGAAAATAGAGACATGCCTTAGACCAGTTCGTTGAATACCAGAAAGAACCATTCAGAAAGCATGAGCTGCAGGTACCAAGAGTTGTTTAGAATCCCTTTCGGAAAGTCGTAGAATGAAATTGTATACTTTGCAGACCTTGCTTAATAAAAAAAAATGGTAACTTGCCTGGCATGCCGGTCTAAGGGTTTCAATAAACACCGCATGAATATTACAGATAAGGCACTCTACATTGGGTCTGAGGTCATTTGCTGAATGCTTCTTCCAAATAATTGAAAGTAATGAGCGCAGAAGAAGCTAGGTAGCCATCATTTTTCAGAGCATGGTTAGCAAAGGTAGACTTAATGCTCTGAACAGTAAAAATATTCCTGGAAGTGCAGACACTGGGACTGTCATCCTGATCCTGGCTTCACTAGTGTGTCAGAGGCTCGGGTAAAATTTGCATATCTGGAGTCCCAAATTTACTGGCTGCATGCTATTTCCATTTCACCAATGCAAGTATAATTCGCTCTAGACCAGGGGTCTCCAAACTTTCTTAACAAAGGGCCAGTTTAAACTATTACACACATATATATATATATATATATATATATATATATATATATATATATATAACAATATAGGGCCATATATATATATATTTATTGTACACACACACATATACATATATACCTTCAGAATATATATATATATATATATATATATATACACATATATACACACAACACACACACACACACACACACACACACACACATACACATATATATATATATACACATATATATTACATATATATACACATACATCTACTTAGCACACCCTTGTGTGGTTAGAAGGCGGTGGAATTAGTGCCCAATCAATGGTAGAGTGGGAGGAATAATGCCACCATTGTTGGTGTCAGTGGGAGTAATACCACCTCATTGTTGATGTCAGAGGCAGAATTAGTGTCCCACAGGCCTGATACAGGCAAGCAAAAAGGGCCAGATCTAGTCCTGGGGCCACAGTTTGAAGACCACTGCTCTAGACAATGGAATTCAACACGTGTTTTAGAGTGAATGTGGAAAACTCAGAACAGGGTATGCAAGATCAGAAAAGTGTGTGTCTGTGTACCTATGCAATGGAACACATTTTACCAGAGATGTAGGTGGCAATTTAAAGACCAAAGTTTTAAACACTTCCCCGTGCTATGACCACCCTCACTTCTTGTCCCCCAGACAGTGGTAGCAAAGAAAATAATGAGATTTAGGCTACTTTCACACTGCCCGTAGAAAACGCATACACGGGCGGTTTTTTTTTAAAGAACATGAGACTCCAAAACCGTACCAAAAACGAAAAACAATTTTGATGCGTTTTCCACTGATTTCAATGGGGAGGTGTGTGTTTTTGTACCGCACCAAACCTCCAAAAATGCAACAAGCAGGATTTTAAAAACCGCACACCACCTTCAACAATTCAGTGTGAGCAAAAATGGATCAGTGTGAATGCACCGACCACAATGGGGAAACAGACAGCAATTAATAAACCATGGTCTAAAGAAAAGACCCCACACCATTAAGAAAATATTTTGGCTGTACTTACACCTTAATCAAGAAAAGTGGGCAGGGAGCAAGGGGGGGGGGGGTGGGGGGGGGGGGGGGGGGGGGGGGGGGGGGGGGGGGGGGGGGTTGGGGGGGAATCTATTACATGAAAGTGGTTGTAAAGGCTGGCGTTTTTTTTTTTACCTTCATGTATTCTATGCATAATACATAATATTCACCTAAGCCCTCTCGATCCAGCAATGTACAGTGGAGTCTCGGCTATCCCAGGACTCCCTCTTCTCATTGGCAGAGACAGAAGCAGGAGCCGTTGGCTCCTTCTACTGTCAATCAGTCAGTGCGCCAATGAGAAGAGATGGGCGGGGCCAAGCCACAGCTCCGTGTGAATGGACACATGGAGCAGCGGGTGCCCCCATAGCAAGCTGCTTGCTGTGGGGACACCAGACAGGAGGGAGGAGCCAGGAGAGCCTGCGGGGGACCTAAGAGGAGGATCCAGGCTGCTGTGTGCAAAATCACTGCACACAGCAGGTATAGACATGTATTTATTTTTTTCTTAAAAAAAAAAAAAAAAAAAAAAATCAAGTTGCACTTACGGTAACGTCTTTTCCAGTAGTCTTTCAGGACAGCACGTGGGGAGGAGCCGAGGTCTCTCAACGTGCTGTCCTGAAAGACGAAAGGGGAAAAAACCATCAGATTAAAGTGGTTATAAAGGCTTAAGCACTGGCACAATATAGTTGACTGCTGCTCTGTGTCTTATAGGTGTACAGTGAGCACATTAGACATCACTAGTGACAGAACCTAATAATGGGTAGCTTAAACGATATGCAAGGTCATTTTTGGATCGAGTAGAATGGATAGACCATTTTGTGAAGTTTTTATTGCTGTCAGTTTCCCCAGAGGGAAGACTCACCCCTCTGTCCTGGCAACCACTGTCATCTAGGCAAAAATGGGAAGAGAACCCATACATTTTTCAGTTTCACCAGAGCAGGTAAGAGAAAATTACTCCAACTGGGACACTCGTTGCTTTGAAATCTTTTCTAAAATGTGAAATCTGCTCACTTTAGAGAGATTTCCTTTTATATCCCATTTTGTCTCCAGGACAGGAAGGGAAGTGAAATCATTCCAGCACGACACAGACTGCAGAAAAGTAACCCAAGAACAGGGAAGGGTTAAAACCCTATTTAAAACACTTCAATTGGAAAGGGGGTACAATACAGTGGTGGAAAGCAATTCTGGGTGAAGGGTCAACTTTAATTAAAACAAAGTTAAAGCATCTTACCTATATCTAAAATCCAGAGATCCCCAAGTCGGCATCCACTCATACCACCATAGATCACCAATCGAGACTTCTTTGAATCTTTATCTGTGTAAACCACAGCAGTGTGGGACTCCCGAGGTGGAGGCAATATACCATAAGTAATGGGTATGTCCCAAGCTACGACTCCAGAACCAGGACGCAACTCCAAAATGTACAGATCATTAAGGTACCTTAAAGAATGAATAACAGGGAGTGGAATTAATAACACTGGAGCAGACAAAATCTGGAGCAGCTGTACATAGTAAACAATCGGCTTCTACCTTCAGCTTGTTCAGTTAAAGCTACAAGCGGTTTGGCTGCCGTGCAGTCGCTCCAATCTTAGTAAATTCCCCTTCATATATTTATGCACACTGAAAACAGATCATAGGCTCTAAAACTAGTACAGAGCAAACGCAGCAATTTACCTGGGAATATTGTTCTTTGGGTCCTCGCTGTCATTAGCCAATCCCCCAAACAGGTAGCATTTGCTTCCAACCAATGAAAAGCTATGTCCTAGTCGGGGACATGGAGGTGGACCATTTTTTGGTGCTTTGGCTTTCAACCTCTTCCATTCCCATCTGCTAGCCTGGAAACAATTCATTGGTGGTTTTTAATTTTGCAACTTTATCAATGAAAACAATGACCAAAAAAAAAAATTAAAAAATTAAAAAAAAAAAAATATATATATATATAGCTATAGCTTTACATACCTGTAGCTCATATAGATCATTGCTGTATTTGCCATATTCCACCATTCCTCCAAAGACAAGCAGCGAGTCCCATCACAGACAAATCCATAAGCGGCACAACCTGGAGGAATGTCTCCTCTGACTGCTGGAATGAACCACTGGTTTGTAGCTGGAAGGAAGCAGACAGGACAACATTTCATTATGCGCAGTCAAGATTTTAAATCTGCAACAAAAACCATTTAGCACATTCAGGACCAATTATGGCTCAAATTGTTGCTGCAGTTCTGCATTCCAATTACACTGAATGCCAATTCATCATACAGTATCTAAAACTAGAACTTTTTTTTTTTTTTTCATTTTGGTGGGAGCAGGAAGAGGTGGCAAGAAGAGGTAGGACCTGTTAAGGTTTTCATTGCATTTGATTTACCCTCTCTACTTATCCTGGCGACTCCTGTCACAGAAGATGCCAAATTCAATTTTACAGTTGTCACCATAACAGGAGGTACACAGGTTTGTCATCCATTAGGGACACCTCTTCTCCCACTGGATGAGTTCTCTCCACTTTTTGTATAATCCCTTTCACATTTCTGGGCCAGGGACACAGACAGCAAAAACAAAACAAAAAAACCCCAAAACAAAACCCAAGAAAAACAAAAAGAAACCTCAAAAAAAAAAACAAATAAAAACAAACAAAAACAAACAAAAAACAAAAAGAAAAAAAAAAACTGGTTTTATCCCTTCCCCATCTGAAGCCAGTAAAAAAAAAAATTTTTTTGGACTATATACATAAAGAATGGCTTGTAGTCTGCTAGAAAAACCTAAGGAGATTCTACCCCTTTATCAACGAGCCAGGGCAATATGAATAAGTAATGATTATAAAGTACTCCTACCTAATCACTGATTTACACCGCTAAGATCTCTCCTCATCTTCAGCAGTCAAATTCAATCATGTTCTATTGAAAACATGCACACAATTCATTGCAGCATTCCAGGTAATAAAGCGAAGGGATTAATAGCCTGCCCTTGGGCAGCAGCCAATATATATTTTCGGCTATAATTACCTGTACTTTGAACCAGTTTTCCTAGCATTGCACAGTTGTATACACCCATCTCAAGCCCTGCAGTGTTTTAAGCGCCAACTGTACTACTAAAAAGTATGTAAACCCCAAAAATTACCTTCTAGCCTGCTAAAATGTACAACTGAAAGGGTTTTACTATATCTGTTCAATAAGTGTGTGTATAGAACACCTCAAACCTGTAGATTTGGCCATAAGGTTCAATTTGAAAACTTCCTGTGCTGCATACATATCAGTTCTATTATTCCCAGTTACTTCTGAGGACTTCACATGCCCTCCTCTCTGTGTTATGGAGGAGGAGAGGGAGAGTGTTCTGTAGTTCTAACCTAGAGTGACAATGCTGCTCCTCAGATCCAATACAGCATTGTCACCCTGGATAGACATGTATTACTGGCAGGATCACCAGGTACGAAGGAAAAAAAAAAAAAAAAAAAAGAAAGCAGGGACATGCTGGAAAACTCCTCTCCATCAATAATAATAATAATACGGGATTACACTTTATATATAAATGGTTTTAAAGCTTGGAAAAGTAAAGTAAAAACCACACACGTAGGCCAATGTTAGAAAATTAAACCAGCAACATGCAAACACCTTTTTCTCTGCTATTCTTTCAGTCAATGTTAGTTATTCCATGTAGTATTTTATTAGGATGGTATGGTTGATTACAGTATAGTATTCATTTAGTCATGTGGTATTAATTGCCGTCATTGGTAATTTTATCCTTGTTGTGCCTTATTTTTATTTTGTTTTGTTGAATGCAATTGTACCTTAGTAAAACTTTCCTTTGGGATTAATGAAGTATTCTGAATCTGGCAGTTTTTATTACTGTCTGTACCCCTACAAAGTTGTCTCTGATACAGGAAGTGAAGAGAAATCCTCCCCAAAGCAACAGCACAGTGGCTAAATGGTTAGCACTTCCGCCTGGCAGTATTAGGGTCGTTGGTTCGAATCCCAACCACGGGCCACCTGCCTGGAGTTTGCATGTTCTCCCTGTGCCTGTGTGGGTTTCCTCCGGGTACTCCAGTTTCCTCCCACACTCCAAAGACATGCTGGTAGGTTAATTGGTTCCTGTCTAAATTGTCCCTAGTATGTGTATGTATGTGAGTTAGGGACCTTAGAGTGTACGCCCCTTGAGAGTTAGGGACTGATGTGAATGTACAATATATATGTAAAGCGCTGCGTAAATTGACGGCGTTATACAAGTACCTGTAATAAATAAAATGTAAAAGAGTTGTAAAGTTTTAAGCCCTCCCACTGCTGAAAGCTAAATAGATTTTAGCTGGAGTTAAGCAGGCCATAGAGGGATCGAATCTCAGCTGGTTCAACAGGGACCAGCCAAGATCTTATCCATCTTATCTTATCCATCTCTGGGCAGGCTGGTTGTACCAAAGCTGACCCAATAGACTGACCTGCCTGTTAGATTTTACACATGTGATTACTGTCGGTGATTATAGCCGCTACCAGTAATCTTTGTGTTCTGCCAGCAGGAAAGGCTCCCTGTTGGGAGAACACGCTAGCTTCTCAGGAGGGATTCTCCCATCAACACTGACTGTGTTGATGGGGGAATTATTAAACAATTTTATTTACCTGCCACCCCATGCAGGAACACAATAGCTCAGCAGGGGAGATCGCCTCACTAACAGATTTTTTTATGTTCAACCCCCCCCCCCCCCCCCGGGTGTACTAGGCTTAAGATTCAAGGCAAATTGCCTTATCTATGCATTGGGCACGGCTGCACAGAGCAGCCCAATTCATATGGTGTGAATGGGCTCTGAATCTACTGATGGCTAGGTTTTCTTTTTATTTTCTGTTTTTTAATTGCAGGGCAGGGGATTGAGTATATAGAATTCAGCTGTATCAGGAGACGTTCTATGGAGCTAATGTTTGAGAACTCTAAACTGGACCAAAAACATTACAATCTGATTGTATCAACAACTATGTAGTACATTGGCTTTCATAAGCCCTCATGCACACGGGACATTTTGATAATGCTGGTAACGTTAGCTGTGTAAAGTCACGTCAAAAAATGTGAGTTTTTCTTTTTTTTTTTTTATAAGAGTTTTTGCATTAGCGTTTAGCGGCGTTTTCCCACATTTGCGGTTTTAGGTAAAAAAGCCAAAAACGCTGGTTTGCAGTGTTGTACTGCGTTTTTCAGCGTTGAGTATTTTTACAGCTAAAAAAAAAAACCCTTCTAGAAACCCACCAGTCCTGGGGTTTTTTCCAGCCAAAAAACATTGATTGCAGTCTGTGTGCACATGGACACCGAGGATAACATGCTGGGGGGTATACTAGCTGTAGAAAAAAAAAAATGTCAAAAGCCAAAATCAGCCCCTGCAAAAACATCCAGTGTGCATGAGGGTTAAAAATTATGTACATGAATTCAAGGCCCTCAAATTTCTTTCTATCTGTAGCAACCAGCTTCCAACTGCAATTTCTCTGGTTCAGGTTTGAAAACGAAACCACAAAAATCCTCAAACAAATGAATAGCACAGTTTTCATATATAAAGCGGCTCCTGATAGAATTACCCAACAGAGATATCTCCATCTATATTTGAGTGTTGATGCTCCCGCCATCCACTACTGTATATGGTCAGCATAAAATGTGACAGAAGTCTGATAAAGTTACACTGAGGGAAACCATTTTCCTTCCAAGCAATCACTTTGCAAACATCTGACAGTCAGCAAGTGAATCACTTTTTCATCTTTAAATACACTTCCAATACATAAAACCGGGTATTCGGCCAGCACATATCCTACATGGCGATCATAGACAGTGTGCTTTCCATTAAAAGGCCAAGCTCACCTTTCTAGTCAGTTTTCGGTGGAGTCAGGGGGGCCCCCAGTAGTTTGAAACACACTGTACTGCTTAGGCTTCATTCACAGATGTGCAGTGCAGGAGAATGCACAATTTTGCATGCACTCCCACACCCGGTGTGAACAAACCCTTGGACAAATTGAGTGTGAGGATATACCTGTCCGTGTGTCTGCTCATACCTCGTACGAGTAAGCGGTTACACAATGACAGGAAGGATCAACAGACTTTCTAGAGTACTCACCAGCACCCTGGTAGTTTACGAGAACTACAAACCATCAGCTGCAATGGCTGACAGTTGTAGTTCTCCCATTCACAAAACGCTGAATGACTGATGTGGCTGAGTGGGCCAGGCGTCCCACGCAGCTGCGTTTTTTTTTTTTCTTAAATTGTGACAGCGGATGCGAGGAGAACATCACCGTCCCACTGTCAGAGAATCGGGAGCTGCTTGTCTAGTAACATGTTACTAAATATTGATTGTACCATGTAATGTATTACTAAAGATGACTTTATCCTTTAGGCCTAAATACTAAATGACTGATTGGATATATAATAAATGATACCGATATATGTTCTTATAGCTGAAGTGAAAGTCGGCTGCTACTAGTATGATTTACTAAATTAAAAAGACAGATATTAAGAGAGAATGGGGGGCAGGGGGCCAAACCACAGCTCTATATGAATGGACACAAAGCAGTGGCTCAGGAACGAGGCTGCTTGGGTGCCCCCATAGTAAGCAGCTTGCTCTGGGGGTACTTAGCAGGAGGGAGGGGCCAGTAGTGTTGATGGGGGACTTAAGAGGATTGGGGCTGCTCTGTGCAAAACCATTACACAGGGAAGGCAAGTAGAACGTTTGGGTTTTTGTTTTCTTTTAAATTACCTTTAACCACTCGCCCTCCAGAGGATTTACCCCCCTTCCTGTCCAGGCCATTTTTTGCGTTACGGCGTTGCATTACTTTAACTGACAATTGCGTGGTCATGCAACACTGCACCCAAATGTAATTTACGTCCTTTTTTTCCCACAAATTGAGCTCTCTTTCGGTGATATTTCGCCTGTGTGATCGCACTGACACTGTACTAATGGCACTGGGAAAGGGGCTAACATGAGGGGAGCTCAAATGGTTAACTGTGTGCTGCTGGGAGTGTTTTACTGGGGGGCGGTGTGTTGGTGCTTCACTGTAAGCACACTGCTTTGGATGGCTGTGAACAGCCATCCAGAGCAGTGTGACTGATGCAGACAGGGAGGAGGACTGTTCGTAAATAAAGCAACCCTCCTCCTAG